CAATAGGGTCCTCGCACTGTTAGTGCTCGGGCCCTAACTAGCAATTTAACTAACAAAAATCAATCACTCACAATATAAGGTCCCGTCCACACTACTGCGTTTTCATTTAAAAACTGAGAATTAAAACGAATACGATCTCTGTCCACACCAGCGTTTTATCTGCGTAGAATTGATCTCCGTCCATATTAAAGGACAACTCCGGCGCAAAATGAACCTTTGGTCTAATTACACATTGTTACCTAGTCAACCGTTATCTGAGATTTGTTTTCATGTTTGCCGAATGTAAATACTATAGTTTTATCTCTAAAAACAGTTTAGCCTATAACGCTAGTATAATGCTAGTATATAAGGCATAGAGTAATGACAAATAAAAACCACTTGTTATTACCACTAACAAGGCTCAAAATAGCCCCACACTAACATGACAGCATAATAAGGCTCCCTACATTCAAACCGAAGCATTGAGAACTTTGTCAGTGTCCATACAGTTTAATAAGAAGATATTTTATACACACAGTCAACTTCGCGAATACAGGAAGAAGCCATCTTTGAAAAATAGTCTCTACCAGTCGATCTACGAACGCCGATCCAAGTGCGCTGAACTGTGCAGAATATCATATGGTCCGTTGTTTTCGGAAGAAACACAAACACAAACAGTTTTCTTCTGTTTCTTCCTGTATTCGCGAAGTTGACTGTGTGTATAAAATATCTTCTTATTAAACTGTATGGACACTGACAAAGTTCTCAATGCTTCGGTTTGAATGTAGTGACCCTTATTATGCTGTCGTGTTAGTGTGTGGGGCTATTTTGAGCTTTTTAGTGGTAATAACAAGCGATTTTTATTTGTCATTACTCTATGCCCTATATACTAGCATTATACTAGCGTTATAGGCTAAACTGTTTTTAGAGATAAAACTATTTACATTCGGCAATCATGAAAACAAATCTCAGATAACGGTTGACTAGGTAACAATGTGGAATTAGACCAAAGGTTAATTTTGCGCCGGAGTTGTCCTTTAAAACGACTGAAAACGCGGATCACGTGACCATTCACCAACACTGGGCATGCGCGTGCCGGTGTAAACAGTGGATGACAAATCAGGGAAGGACACGTCATGACTGATAACACCCAATCACAGAGCCGAGCGTAAGCCTCTACGTCATAATTTCTAAAGTCCTCCGTTTTGTCCCGTCTTCACTAAAACACCCTCCGGAGATTCAAAACACAAAACGGAGCTGCAGCGTTTCTAAACTTCTCCGTTTCAGGTCTTCGTTTTTGGACGGGGCCTAAGGGCACCCCAGGAAACATTATAAAATAATAAAATAATCCAGTTCATGACCTCTTTAAATGCTTTGAATTTACAGTCCAATAAATTCTTTTAGCCAAATTTGAGATTTATTTGGTACTGTTAAGCTGCAATCACACCAGGCTTGTGCACAATTCAGAATTGAATTGAGAATGACTACTAAATTCCAATTCAATTCTAGAATTTGAATTGAATTTGAATTGATGTCAAAAACAGGATCTAGAATTACAATTCGAATTTGAATTAAAAGGAAGCAGAATTACAATTCAATAAAAATTCCAAGAAATTCATATAGATATTTTAAGTGAAGTGTTTAACAATGTAGCTTTACAATATGTCAGGTATGATTGCATTACATATTATATAAATTATATTATTTTGAACTACCAGCAATGTTTTCCCCCAGCAATGAATGTTAAAAGCTCTAGGCAAAGAACAAATACTAAGTTTGATTTATTGTAATTGTAACGCCATTTCCCAGAATTAAAAGGAAATTGCTTTACATTGATAAAGTAATCCAAATAAAGTAATCTAAACCACATTTATAATGATGTAACATTATAATTTACAACAGTGAGCAATTACATTTCCAGAGTAACCTTCCTAACCCTGACTGTAGGGGAGTGCGGGGCACAATGTAATGCAGACTAGTTGTAACACACTAGTTTTAAATACTTCCACACGCTAGCATGATGAAACTTGACGTATTTAGTAGTTGCCATTTCAACACTATATCGAGAAAAGAAAATTCGGAGATCTTTGTAAGATATCACTGAACATTCATTTAAACATAGCAAAAGTACATATCTTACCTAAGTTAATTTTTCATCTCTATTTTTTTTGTGTTTTATTTAAAATTAGACAAATCTGGTATTTTTTTTAATTTCCAATCTGTTGTTTAACAGTTGATTTCGTTCTTTAATGCTTTGCTAACTAGCAGAAGACACAAGCAGGGTTTAAAGCCCAGTTGTGCAGTTGGGGCATGTTGTCACACTGTGTTACATTTTGCCCCTATTAGAAATATGATATTATATTCTATACTTTTATGAATTCTATTGAGAAAACATGAGAAACATGTAAATAAAGACTGAGAGTACATGTTCAGAAATGATTAATTATTATTTTGTTTTGAACTATGCTGTGTAGCTGTGTTTTCCGGTGTGCTTGTTGTCAAACTCAAAAATGTATTATTTTTAATTATTAAAAAAAATGCCATTATTTTATATGAAAAAGTTAATAATTGTATTTTATTAAGAAAATATTTCGGTTTGACTTGTATATTTTTTGATTAGGTGAGATAGCATTTTAAGCTGTCATATGGTGATGTGCCCCTCACATGTTACAATGCACGTTACAATGTGCCCCACACATGTTACAATGCACCCCACCTATGGGGAATGTTGTCACATTTGACATTTCTTTCAGGGTAAATCAAGAAAAAAGTATACATTGTATTAATAAAACAAAACCACATAATTGTACAAGACATGTGGGAAAAAAATAAATAGATTAGCACAAACTGAGAAAGTCAAAAAGTGCTATGTTGTGCCCCGCTCTCCCCTATGTGAGATTCAACACATGCTTTCTGTTGTGTGACTGTGTGGAATTTCTTTGAATTGCCATGAATTTAATTACACTTCCTGTCATTCCAATTCAAATTCAACTTCCTGGGGGCGGAGTCAATTAGGGCTGAACGATTTTGGAAAATAATCTAATTGCGATTTTTTAACCAATATTGCGATTGCGATTTAATATGCGATTTAAAAAAAAGTTATTTACCTTCTGTATTAGTCGACAAAGACAAGCAATAAATCATTGTACAGTAGGGATGGGAATCTTTAGATAGCTCATGATCTGATCTACTTTTTTTCTTATTAATTTATCTTAATAACTCTTAAAATATGTATTTAATTACATGTGCTTTAAAAAATAAATATAAAAAACATTTAATTAAACCAATTACATCTTAAGAATTTTAAATAGGCTATATAAAATAATATAGCTTCAAAATATAAAAGCTAGTAAATAAAGAGAAACAAAAAAAAACATTACAAGCAATAAACAAAGAGTGGTCTCAGTATTTAAAAGTAGGCTGTCTGAATGTTTTTCATTCAAGAGCTGGAGTGATTTCCCCTCAGTTTAGATACGATAAGCTGCATTCACACTAATGCATATATCTCTTTTGAAATTGTAAATGTGGTTTGTCCTGTTGGTTTAAGATATAACTGACCGTGTTTACATTAATTTCGCGTCATAAAAGCATTTTGACATGCAAGTACATTTACCAATGAGTCACTCACAGCTGCATGCACGAGCGCTCTTCACAAAGCACGCGTTAGTATTTTAAAATGAAAGCAGCCTTCTCAGTGATTTTCATGGTTTTAATATATAAGCCGACTGCATTCCAAAAGACATAAATAATGCCTCTGTGAAGCATTTGTAAAGAAAATTCCCGCGGGAGAGAACGCGCACTGCAAGTGTAACGTTATAACATCAAGCAAAGCGGCAAAACCTGTTCAATGAAGCCCGCGAATGTCCTTGTAATTCGGTTCAATCCCGAACTTTATGAAATAACGTTACTATGTTTTGGAAGGTTCGAGCGGTGTCGTGTGTGTGAGTGAGGAAGAGAGAGAGTGAGAAAATAGAAGCAAGCAGATTCAGAACATGGTTCGTTTCTAAAGCACGCGCAGCGTCATCACGCATCTGTGTTTAAAAACTAAGCTCAGACTCGATTCTGAAATTCTCTGATCCAGGATTGTGGAGGAGAGAATAAATAAAAAAAAATAGACTAAACTGTTCTTTTCTGAACGCCAGACCGCGTAGCGTGGCAAGTTGATGCTTTATCTTGCAGACTGCTTTTCTCTCGCGTGTCACGTGACCAATGTAATCGCAGCTCTTGCGATTACAAAATTGCGTTTCATCATATCGCGATTTTATCGCAAATGCAATTAATCGTTCAGCCCTAGAGTCAATTCAATTCAAATTCCAATTCATGAATTGAATGGAGGACAATTCTGAAATTCTCAATTTTGCACAAGCCTGGTTCACACTACACGCGACACGATACCATTTATTTTTAATGGTGAGCGGGCGACCAGTGGGGCGTGTCCAGCGACGCGACAAAGTTGAGAAATGTTTAACTTTATGAAAATTAAGAGCGATTTTCGCGAGCGACAACCAATAGGAGTGATGTCTGTGGAGTACGCTTCAGTGCTGAGTCTGACCGAGGCAAGTTGAACGAGAAGCTCATTTTAGCAGTCATAAACTGTCCTATAATTTATGATACATCTCCGTGTACATACAGTGGTGTTCACCGAACTGACTCCGTGACTGAATGGTTTTGGGAACCCAGATAGTCCGGTATTTGCCCGTAAATAGCCGCGATGGCAAAGAGCACTCACTGTTTCTCGTTCATCTTTAATATTATGCATTTTATTAACTGATTCCATTTATATTTAGACTTTTCCTTTTCCTTCCAAAATATTTGTTTGTAGCTGCAATAAAATGTATTTGTTGTCTAACATAGAGTAACTTCCGTGATTGTCACTCACAAACATTACTAGGCAACCAGTAGTGGGGAACGCCCTCCAGTGCAGCCACTGGCAACCTGCAGCGACAAAGTCGCGTGTAGTGTGAACGCAGCTTAAGTGTGTTTGTTTGTTTGTATGTGTGTTTGTTCTGGCTGTCACATACACTAGTTGACCTCTCCAGTCTGTGAAGTCACGTTTAGGCAAAGAGATGGCTGGATTCGAATGCACTGCCAAAGGCTGCCTACACTCCAGGTATGCCCACTGAACCCACCAATCAGAGATCTGCACAAAGTGAAGACACACAAGACACACCAGATCAAACCAAACAAACCAGCCTGCTAGTTCACCTTAGCATACACAATCAGAATCCAGAATCAAAATTGCTGCACAAGGCTGTGATGCCTAAAATTGGGGCTTTCTTCTTCATTTATGCATTTCTTTCAACAAAAAAATCTAAATCTTTAGCAGGGGACCTCTGGTTCAGTTGACACAGAATAACCCTATGATTAATTAGCATAATGTCCCATGGTATTTCATGGTAGCCTACTTCAAAAAATACAATATGTTCATTGTGAATGTCCAAAAACATAGAACTGCTAGATGATAATACAATTAACAAGGTTTTCTTTTTCTGCATCAGCATCGGTACATTTAAATTGTGTTACAAGTGCTATTCTCACCCAGTTGTGTGAATGCTTTGCTCGTTTGATCAGCTCTCTCTGCAGTTTTTCACCAAGACCTCCAGAGCATCCAAACTTCTGCACGATCCTGTGGGTGTGTTCGAGCTCATCTGGCGGTAAGAGCGGTTCCAAAGCCCTCAGGTAGCGCTGCAGCGTCTGGGCAAGCGGAGGCACCGGCTGCGGCGGAACCAACGAGTGGGCCTGTCTCAGCACACCCTTGACGAACGTGACACATAGACTGAAAGTTAGGACCTGAAATTTTAACTTCAAATATACTTACGAGTCACATCCCTTACATGTTGTATACCCCCTCTTCTCTGGAGAAAGAGAAGTATGCATCTATTCATAATCAAATGTTTTATATTTCATTAAATGTAACAATTGCTGTCAAACGTAGGCTACATGTGCTAAACAGCAACAAAAGCAGATTTATAATTAACGTTATATGCACAACAACAACACTTACCCTGTGCATTAATAAAGACCATTTTCTTGGAGATATCCTCTCTAAAATCATTGTTCTACGCTGTTTGTTCACAATGAAATAGCAAACTAGTATTTAAGCTTATATGCAAAAACGAATGTCACGAAAAATCTTCATCAATGATATTACAAGATCACTAAAGTGTTATTCTTCACCCCACTAGAAAACGGCAGTAAACTATTCTGACAGTTGAAGTGATCAGTCTGTTAAGAGTCGTCGAAGTTCGGCTGAAGTTCGTGAGCTGAGCTCCAGCACGCATTGAGGTGTGGACACTACAACACGTGTGCAGTTTTTAATGTTTTCTGCCGTATCCTTTCGTATATGTGCGCAAAACAATGAGCCAAGGTTCTATGGGCTATATGGACGCATAAGTTCCGCATTTGACGTAAGGATGCTTGTCCATTTCCGGTTGTGTAGATTAAAAAGCGGAGGAAAACCGGAGAAAACGGGATTATGGCAGAGTCAATATTTACTGTCCTCCCGTCTTTGAAACGAAACGTACATACGTTTAGATGTAATTTTATATATTATGTTTATTTAATATAATTTTAAAAAGAAGCATAAACACAACGAGGGGTGTCTGTTTTATCTGTTTTTGTGACTAACGTTTCATTAGTATGGAGTATAAAATTCAATAAATTCTCGGTATTGCATTGGACTCTATGATCGGCGGAAGTTATCGAGCATCCTTAATCCTTCACCGGAAATAACGCCGTGCATAGAGCCCATTCAGGTCCTTTGGGGCGTTTTCAGATCTGTAGATCGCCTGCTTTGGTCCGAATATATATATATATATATATATATATATATATATATTCTTCTTAATAATTTTTACAATAATGTTGCAGTTTCTTTCTTGGTTCGGTTCGCTTTCACAAGGCAATGGGCTCTATGCACGGCGGTATTTCCGGTGAAGGATTAAGGATGCTCAATAACTTCCGCCGATCGTAGAGTCTAATGCAATACAGAGAATTAATATTGAATTTTATACTCCATGGTTATAATAAAGAAACGTTAGTCACAAAAACAGATAAAACAGACACCCCTCGTTGTGTTTATGCTTCTTTTTAAAATTATATTAAGTAAACATAACTATATATAAAATTACATCTAAACGTATGTACGTTTCGTAACTTCGTTTCAATGACGGGAGGACAGTAAATTTTGAAGACTCTGCCATAATCCCGTTTTCCTCGGTTCTCCTCCGCTTAAATCTCCACAACCGGAATGGACGAGCATCCTTGCCTCAAATGCGGAACTTATGCGTGCATATAGCCCATTTAAAGCGCACCATAATGTGTTTAATACAAGTCACATGTGAGTAAAACTGTCCTTATTGGTCAGAGTGTTCTCTGCGGCCTCCGAAGCAGAGCCATATATTGAGAGAGTTCTTACATTACCATAGACCGCCATTGTAACTCAGGAATGCGGAAGTAGCGCGTGTCGTGGACCCGCCCATTAGTTCCAACCACTGATAGTTCCAGCATTGAACCCCATTCATTTTCAGTGCTTCCGATGTCCTCTCGCTGGTAAATTAATGAAATTACTGTAATTTTTACTTTTACACACATTAGCCGACCTCTCGTGAATCTAGTCTGTAGTTATATGTTATGTAGCCAGATCTAGTAAATGTTTATTGGAAGATAATAGGTTAATTGCAGCGATAGCTTACGTGACCAACACTTCACTAACGTCGTTAGCTAACTTATGGTTACCTGATGTATATAATATTTTTTCCTAACATCAAATAAATATAAATAAATAAATAAATATATATATATATATATATATATATAATATTATATATATATATATATATATGAAGAGTTCAGATGCAAAAGCCTCTAAGTGCTATTTGAAATTTTCTTCTATGGTCATTTTTATCAAGCTTGTATATTTAAGTTCAGTGATTTCACTTAAATGGCAATGATAATTACCTATTAATTGTTATTTAAGTGAAATTACTGAACTTAAATATACAAGTTTGATAAAAATCATCATTAAAGAAGAACATTTCAAATGGCATTTAGAGGCTTTTGCATCTGAACTCTTCATATATATAATATTAGATATACAATACACACATATATATATATATATATATATATATATATATATTAGATATACATATACACACACACAATTGATTTATTTAAATGGTTTAGGGTTATGCATGTGTTTGTGTAATGTATATAGGCATACATAATATATATATATATATATATATATATATATATATATATATACACTCTAAAAAATGCTGGGTTGTTTTAACCCAATTTTGGGTCAAATATGGACAAACCCGAAATGTTGGGTTAAAAATGTAATGTAAAAATTTAACCCAACGGCTGGGTTAGTCCATATTTGACCCAAAGTTGGGTTAAAACAACCCAGCATTTTTTAGAGTGTATGGGTGGGTGACGTGACATGGCAATTTTGCTGTCTTCAGTGTCAAACATGTATGAATAAAAAATATATTTGCCAAAAACCTTCTCAATATTGTGCAGAACATTATGCTTTATGGGAACATATTCAAAATTGAAACAGTTCATCACTAATTTTTTCAGAATTTTCAACCAAACATAACAAAACTCATATGGTGTGACTGTCCGGCACTTGTTTCTCAAATTGAGAACTTGAAACAAACTAAAAAAAAAATAAATGCAAAAATTCTCAAAAAAATACAGAAAAATAATACAGATGTCTATTTGTGAGCCTACTCTTTTCAAAGTCCAAGCATAATGTTTTGAGTCAGTTCTAATCAAAAAGATTTTGTCACACAAATCAAAATCATATGGTGCGACACTATTTTGGGATATTTGAACGGGCAACTGTTTTGACGCCCTTAGGAAGGAGAGGATCTTCTTCAGCAATGTTGTACAGAACTAGCAGTGTATTGCTGCTGTACAACCTGAGGCAAGTCATCATTTTTATATTTACAATAAATCAGATCTTGTTGGCACTCTGACAAAAGTCCCACTTTCAGATGTCTTTTGGTGTGACACATTTTTTTATAAAAATGGTAAATGGTAAATGGACTGCATTTATTTAGCGCCTTCATAGACCTAATGGCCACCAAAGCGCTTTACATTTGCCTCACATTCACCCATTCATACACTAATTCATACACCAACGGCGGTGCAAATGCAAAATGCAAAAGAAATGTTATTATTTTGTCATAATTATATGTAAATCTATGCTGCTTTGTTATAGCTAGCATGTTGTTAGCATGCTAATGTGTAGCTACAAGACTCAATGTTGTGCTAAGTGCAGAAAACATCATATGGAGTATTGGGACAGGGCCACTGCATCCTGCGGTGGATATCCAACCCGGCCCACATCCAAGTGTGACGTCAGAAGCCGCGCCCATCCACATGTGACGTCGAAAGCCACGCCCATTTCCAAAGACGGCACGTGACTCGATTTGTTGTGATTCGTGTACGCATGCGCAAAATGCCGCTGCTTCCTGTCGGAATATGTTTATGGTTGTTATCATAGTTATTGGTTTATAATAAAGATGAGGTTATTTGTGTAGAGATGTTGCACTACAGATTATTGGTGCAGTTAAATTGTGATGCTTTGGCAGGCTTGGAATCGTCTAAATCACAATCACTCCCTTAATAGCTGTATTAGACAATACATTACCTCTGCATTGCTCACTGATTTTGTAAGTTAATGACATATAGTACAAGTAAACAATGTACCTTAAAACGATATTTTTGTATTTTTCTTGTATTTCTGTTACAAATGGTAATCAATAATCATGGTTTGGTATAATAAACGTATAAGGGAGCATCTATACTTAAACTAAAACGAGTTTTTGTCACTTTCTTGATTATATGGGATCCAAACTGCACTTAGGCCTATGATTATCCCTTCTAAAAAGAATGAAAAAACTTTTTTTTAAAACATTTCTATTTAGAAATATTGCATTTTTACAAATTAAGAATTCACCTGTTAATACCTGTTATACCAAATTACTTTAAAATCAAATAATAGAACAGCAGAATGGAATTTATGTAAACCTTAAAGAACCAATATGGTGCAACTCGAAAAGTTTGAATATCGTGCAAAAGTTCATTTATTTCAGTAATTCAACTAAAAGCTGATACCAATATATATTATACTCATTAGTCATTATATGCAAAGTGAGATATTTCAAGCCTTTATGTGTTGTACATTTGATGATTACGGCATATAGCTATGTTGAATTACTAAAATAAATGAACTTTTGCACAATATTCTAATACATAAAAAACAGTTAATCTCTTGCTTCCCCTTCTGTACAGGTTTTATGAGTTTAAAATATCAAAATATCATCATAGTTCAAAATGTCTTGGTCACAAATGAATTTTTTAATGTAATATTTTGTGTTAATACATCAAGTTTACACATATGGTTCTAAAATGACCCATTTAACCTGTTAACTGTCACCCCCCCCCCCCTTTTTTGAATAGACATGAAAATGCACATTTCGAACTTAAATGGTTGTAATTCAAGAATGCTTTGGAATATAGACATATGATTGGTCTTGTTTTAAAGAAGACATTTGGCAGATTTTTGTAGAAGTGAAATAAATTAAGAAAGTGAAACAGAAAAAAAGTTATAGAGGTTTGAGTTTATGGAAATGTACAATGCAAAAATATTAATTATTCATATTTTACATAAAATATATATTTTCAAAACCTGGGCTACTCTAAAACGGCAGAAAAATCAAAGCCAAAAATCTGAACAAGTTGTGTTTCAAATTTTAGGTTGATATCTCAAAAAATGAGCTTTCAGTAAGATTTTGTTTGAGCGCAGTACCAAACTTTTTCACTAGGGCACAATCAGACTCCATTACTGCCCATATAAGGGCGCCTGCATTTCCATTCGTGTTTTGAGTGATATGAACCATTATTTTCACAATTTTCACACAATTTCTGAAGTAGAGATCCTATTCAGAAGTAGCATGGGAAGTTTGGCAGATTTTGATATGAATTGAACCTCTAAGAAACACATACAAAGAACACGCATGTAAGTCATAGCTAGCTGCCACGTCACAAATGGTGAATTTATTATTTTTTTCTCGATATTTCAAATTTTTCAGACCTTTTTTTCCAAAATAATTGAATGGATTCTATCTTTTGAACTTTTGGCATGAAAACAAACTGAGGTATCTACCATTTTTTCATGATTTTTCATGTTTACTGCTATTTTAAAATAAAGGTCTGAACACGCCTTATGAGTATGAAAATATTCTTGTTTTATATTGATAAATTATGACTCCTCTGTAATATATTTTGAAAATCAGTCAACAAATATGGAAACTAGAGATTGTAAGCTTTCAAATGATATATAGTTTGTCAATATTATTTAAGGTATTTACTAAGATATTATTGTTTTAAAAATATAGTGGCAAACGTCCCACCTGTGGGACGGTGACAGTTAAGTGGTTTAAGCAAGTGTGATAACTTTTTGTTAAAATAAACAATGTCAGTTGTTCAGAGCAACACATTCACTATACTAAAAATCCCTGCACAATCGGAGGCTGCAGCTTTAGGACCCCGGTTACAGGATCCTTGTTTTAGTTTGCATGTACATAGTTCTAAAGACATTTAATCTCAGGAGTATTTTTATAAAATGTGTTTTTTTTTTTTATTGAAAATGCATCAGAGGCATTTACAAAAATGTAAATTTATACAAAACAAATTAAAAATGTATATCAATCTTTAATCAACTGAAAAGTGGTGTGAGTCTTAGTTTCTTGAATTCTACTGTATATATTGATTAACCTCCTTAAGTTTAACTAATTTGCTCATTATCAGATAAAATAACGATGGAATCAGCACATGCAGTCACTAAATGATATGACTAGATATCAGAAGGCAAAACTCGAGAATGATTCAAGCATGATTTTATTTATATATAAATATGTATTTATTTATATTATACGAAAGAACAAAATTATTTATAGCACAAAAGCACCAAAAAGATCCCCCGTTTTCCACCAGTTGCTGCAGGAATGGCTTCAATTCTGAGAGAGAGAGAGAGAGAGAGAGAGAGAGAGAGAGAGAGAGAGAGAAATACAAATGAGTTTAACATGTTCAACTGAAATATATATTTCTGATTTAACACTAAACAGTTATGAAATGTTGGAGTTGTAGAGAGAGAAAGTCAAATTGAATATTCATGTTACTGACGTCTAATTTCAAACTCCAAATGTGTAAATGTAAAAGTAACAGCCAACAATTGAATGGTCTCCTTTCTTTTCTCAATTGTTTGTCAATTTGTCGGTTAAAATCTTCCACTTCACTGAAATAGTTATCAGAGAACAGTCACTGTTGTGTTACAGTTTTTCTCTGTCGCTTTGGTGCATTTCTCACATCGCTTTTTACATTTGCACAACAGTTAATGCAGTTCTCAAAACAATTAGCACAAACTGCAAAACTTAGTTAATAACCTGGAAAAGTGTGTCACTTGCTCAAAATGGATCAATCATTCATCAAAAGCAAGTATTCATGTCATTGAAAGTGTCAGTGTAGTCAAGATGAAAAGTCCTAACACCAGTGTTTATGAACAAGATAGTCTAATGGCTTTGTCATATTTTCATTATGACAGTTTGCTCTGTAAGTGTTTGCCAATGCAAAAAAAGTCAGATCTTGGTGACACTACCTGAAAATGCTCAAAACAGTCCTATAAACTATTTGCACAGCCATTTGAAAACTACAGTAAAGTTTCACATTACTGTATTTAATGAGGTACAGTAATTGAGTACAAGACACTGAATATGTATGTCTTTGCAATTCTAATTTGTTCAGAGCATTGTGCAAAAGAAAAAAATACACCCTTATTTACAAAAAACATTTGGGTAGATCCGTGCACAACTGTAAACAATATCACAGTACATATTGGAACTGAACATACAACATGCATATACTGTAAATCATTCATGCACATCTCTTCTCATCAGTGAAAGCTGAGGTTCAGCTGTGAGAAATTGTTCAATTTAGGATGAAAAAGGTTTTTTTTTAAATAAAAAAAAATGCTGGATGGATTTTGACAACTAGTTTAACATTTTTGTATGTGATGACTCAAGCAATGAAATGAGGACTATTACTTTTATATCGAATGACTATTCAGCACTCACAAATATAGTTAATTTGGACTGATATGACATAAGCAAATGATAATGTTATAAAACAGCAAAGAGTTGTATGAAAGCAATTGATGCATCCAAAAGTATTTGCAATTTGTTGGAAGGAATGACAAACTGCAACTATGATGTGCACAAATGACAAAATGTTGTGGAGGTTGAACTAACTGTTGTGCAAATGTAAATAGTGATGTGAGAAATGCACCAAAGCGACTGAGAAAGAGTGTAACAGAATTATCAGTAACAAAAGGGTGCAGTGGGCATTGTGCAAAAATTAATAATAATCTACTCTGACCTGCAATGATAATCCAGACCAGAAAGGAAGACCTGCTCAGCCTCCTGTGAGGAGATATCCCAGCCAGGAGACAGCCAGGGCATTTATGATTGCCTATGAAAAAAGTAAATATAAATGTACAATATAACTCATATTCTTTTTCAAGCAGAATAAGATTTACAGGATGTAACGTCACACATAAACACTAAAATAATATATTTTTATATTTACCCTTAATCCAAATAACAACATTGGTGATATAATAATGCAGTTAGTATAATAGTGTATACATAACAAAATTCTCAGTTGAGACTATACTGATGAAATACACTAAGAGACATGTCAGGGGAGTTAAATGACCAAATATGCAAGTTGAAGATAATTCATAGCTCTAAAACATCATCATCAAACCTTATTGATTCGAATTATGTCGATATTTTGACAATTTACTACATATCGCGCTAATCGCGGGATTCGCGCTAATTGCGGAGCAGGCATGGTAGTCAAGTGATCAGCCGCACGCATTACAAACTACAAAAGTGATAAGAGCTGCTTACAACAGGTAACATCTCATTCTCATACAACTCATTCGTATGATGTTAAACAGTAAAACCGCAAATGTGTTTTGTGCATTTTGTTTCGCACTTACCTTCGTATTCTAGTCTTCTCTTCTCTATAGTTCTTCCTGTTTTTAAATATTAACGAGAATGTGTTCAATTTGGGCATGGGCGTGGTAACTTCTGACGTCACACTTGGATGGGGCCGGGTTGGATGTCCACCGCAGGATGCAGCGAGAGGCTCCTCCTGCAGCCTGGACTGGCTGCGGTAACGCGTCTCTGTCCATGCAGGGGCGCTCGCGGTCGAGTGCAGAATGAATGGGAGTCAATGGGGTTTCACCCCCATAAATCCACTTTTCTCAGGATGTAATTTTTTGTCGAGTAATTTGAAAGTTTAATTCAAAAGGGAGGGCTAAGATGATACACTCAGCTGAAAATTGCATTTTTAAGTGCACTTGTCTGTTCTAAAAACCCGTTCAAAATGTGATGACGTCACACAAAAGCAGAATGCTAGCGTGTTCCGGCCAACAACGGCCTAACCTGTAAGAAATCAAAAGGACATAAGTACTCGTTCATTCGACTTTTGGCGTATAATCTATATTGACCTTGCGGAATCAACAATAAAATCTATGTTAATATAACGACAAGCAGGTGAAAGAGACACTTTTAGCCGTTTAGCCCCATAGACTCCCATTCATTCTGCTCTCGCCCACGATCACCTCCAGTGGAATTCTAATGGAACTGCAACCAAGATGATACACAATAGGGCTAATAGGAAGTGCCAAGTCTCTCCGTTAGACAGGCTCTGAAACTTACATAGGCCTAAATATGATAGACGGAGGAGAACGCATATAGCGCAAATGTTTGCAGTAACTCAAATAGCTTTCTATGGCATTATTTATGATTTTTAAAGGTTTTATTTTATAGTAGTGTTTTAGACGGTATTTTACCTATATTAAACTTATTTTATTTTTATTGTAATTGTTATGATGAAGTGTGTGTGGTCGTTGGTTGCTGTATGTGTGTTGTGTGTGTGTGTCGCGTATAAACCAGTGATCATCGTTCACGGGCTCTTCGACACCTCTGCTGACTTTATCAACCTACACCGATTCATCAACCTGGTAAACCATTAATGTGATCTATGCGTCACCTAACGTTTACTCTGTTTTAACTGTTACGAGCTGCTAAAGAGTATCAAGTCTGTAAATTTGCTCAGAGTCAATATACACACAATGACTCTACAACAGAAACTTAAATAATAAGGAAGGACAAAAAGTGTTGTGGTGGTACCATGGTAGGCTACAGTGAGAATATAAAATGGTAAAACAATCGTTTTGAAAAATGCTATATTAAAAACATGTAACACCAAGATATGTCAAAAACAAAACATGTGTTTTTTTGTTTGTTTTTAGTGACCCATGAATTGTCATTTAGGAATGTAAATAGAGAATCAACAAAATAATTGTGCCAATTATACAGTTGTGCTCAAAAGTTTACACACCTCTTGCAGAATCTGCTAAATGTTCATTTTAACTAAATAAGAGGGATCATACAAAATGCATATGTTATTTAATATTGTCCTGAATAATATATTTTACAAAAAGGTTTAGTCTACATTTAGTCCACAAGACAAAAAAAAAAAAATTAGCTGAATTTATAAAAATGACCCCTTTCAAAAGTTTACATACTGTGGCATGGATGATCCATGCCTGTTTGTTTTTGTGATGTTTATGAGTTCCTTGTTTGTCCTGAACAGTTGAACAGCCCAACGTTCTTTAGAAAAATCCTCCAGGTCCCTCAAATTCTTAGGTTTTCCAGCATCTTTTGCATATTTGAACCCTTTACAGCATTGACTGTATGATTTTGAGATCCATCTTTTCATTCACACGAGGGACTCGTATGCAAGTATTACAAAAGATTCAAACATTTACTGATGCTCCAGAAAGAAACACAATACATTAAAAATCAGGGGGGTGTAAACTTTTTGAATTTGAAGATCAAGGTAAATTGCACTTCATTTGTCTTCTAGGAGACATGTAAGTATCTTCTGTTCAAGCCCCAAGCAAATGATATTTTAAAAAAAATAAATAGAAGATTTATATTTTTAGAAAAGATTTATATTTTGAATAAATGCTGTTCTTTTTAACTTTTTAATTCATCAATGAATCCTGAAAAAAGTATCACAGGTTCCAAAAAATATTAAGCTATATTATTTTTGTTTGTTTTTTCGTATTCTCGTCGCTTGATAAACTTATACTTGAGCCACTGTTGTCACATTCATGAATATTTAAACATTTTCTTTATTGACTTTCTGGGCCGTCAAGTTTCAATCCCTTAGGAAGCCTATGTAGCAGTGATCCACCTCTCACATTTAATCAAAAATATCTTCAATTGTGTTCCAAAGACGAACAAAGGTCTTACAGGGTTGGTACAGCATGGGTGTGAGTAATTAATGACTCAATTTTCATTTTTGGGTGAACTAACCCTTTAATCAAAGTTGTCCTATGACAAGAACGGGTGTTGTGTTATGATCCACTTCAAATGTTGACTACTGTATATATATTTATATAGCACTGTCTGTTGTCATGTGAAAGGTGTATTTACTGAAATTAAATAATATTAGCTATTTATAGAGAGATGATTTATTGTTTTAGTTATGCTGCCTTCACATACGATCGAAAATTTCCTACTTCCAATTTCTGAGTCGCAATTAGGGTAATTACGAGCTCATCGCATTAAAATGCTTTGTTGTTGGAAATTAAAATACTGTGGACAATTCCAGGTATTTTCTTGCCTGTTCATTGGGAAAATCTTATTAAAGCCAAAATGAAATTTATCATCCCATTTATTGACAACCATATGTGCTTCAAATGGTTCAAATGGTGCTTCAAATGGTTATTCAAATATGTAAATACACTTTTGTGGAAAAAAATACCAGTCACAGCAGCAATCGTCTCTCCTCTGCCATGTTTAAAGTTTATGGACCGCCCAACTTGGGAACTTGGTTTTCAAAATCATCCCTGAGCTTGCCTGTGGTAAATACGACTTGAGAGGGCATTCATGTCATCTTTCCTTAACTAGGAAACTCATATTTACGATAATTTCAATTGCACGTGAAGGCAGCATTAGTTAGTTGTTGTAGAGGTCAGATTTTTGTCTGTTCACATGTAATTGATTTGTGTGTTTGTTTTATCTGGTTACAGTCTCACCCAGGTACTAATGTGACTGTCCTAGACCTGTTTGACCGCAGTGCCAGCCTGCAGCCACTCTGGAAGCAAGTGGAAGGCTTTGCAGAAGCCATCTATCCCATCATGCAAAACGCAGCTGATGGCATCCACCTCATCTGCTACTCACAAGGTCTATAACCGAAACAATATAGTGTGTTAAGCATTAAATTAAGATAGGCCATGCTATGTTGTGAATATAAATATGACTAGGGAGCATTGTTAGGCACAATGTGCACCACATGTTGCAACAAAATAACAGTCTACCATAGTTTCCTGTGCAGGGTTAAAACACCTTTTCATCCTATCATCTGTTGCTGTGCTGGGAGTTTAAGTATGCCTGGAGCTTTACATTTTATAACTTGTAATGTATGTTGGATGTCCAGATATCTTAAAGACATGTCTTTAATGTCTGCTTTTTTCGCGTATTTGGGATGTGACATTATTTTATTAACAATTTCTCAGGGTTTCTGTAGATCTTTAAAAAGTATTCAATTAGATTTTTAAAATTTAAGTCTTATTTTTACTTATGAGAGGTCTCAAATTTTAGATAACACTTTGACTTCGATATCTAAATACTTTTATATGATTATTCTAAATTTTCTTTGTGGATTTGCTTGTTTGATAATTTGTGGCATTTACAGCAGCATATTATGGTCTCATGCAGGGGAAAGAAAGAGAGGAGTAGTTGAAAATGGGTAAATGTAAGTTCAATTGAAAGTTCTTTCTTTATCAAACAATAATTACGATATTATCGTAGATGATACATATTGCACACCCCTACTCACATAGTTATATCGTCTATGATGATATCATAATTATTGTTTTAACATTGTGCGAGCTAACAATTTGAAGATGAAAGCATCAGCTAAATGAATAAATATTAAATATAAATATATGCAGTTATATGCCCCCAAAATTCACAATATATGGCCATTTTTGTCCCAATGAGTTTTTGTCTTATATTTATATCATTTAATGTATTTATTACAATATCACACGAGCAATGTTTTTTTCCCAAATCCCAGCACGGTTGCAAATGTGCTATATTTATTTTATACAATAGTTAAAAAAGGTAACATTGTGAGTTACATTTTAGTCACAATATTGTCAATATATTGTTAGCCTTTTCTTTATTTTGCCAACAAAATGTTCAAAACGAAGCCACACCAGAACAGTTTCTGAGCAACGCACAGCGGTGATTCCTTGCTGAACGAATCCGGATATTGAACGAATCAGTTTAATTCATGATTCATTGACCCATTCAATAAAGTTGGTCACTTGCTTCGTTCCTAATTGAATAAGCCATTTGAACAAAATTTAATATAATATAAATCCCATCAAAATATGAAATATTACTTACAATAATATGAATGAACTTAAATATAGTACATTCATATGTTTGAAAAAAAGTTGCACTTAACTTATGCGTCACTCAGTCAAAAATGACCAAACACCTTGTTTATCTGTAAAAGTACACATTTTTAGGTTACAAAGTCTGTGCAATCAGTTCTGTTGTGTATTTCTTCCTAAAAACATTGTCCTCTTTTTTTTCAACTTTTTCTCATTTGTGTGTTACCTTGACTTATATAAACATTAAAGCAAGGGCATGTCTAAATATGTTGTAGGTGGCCTTGTGTGTCGGGGAATCCTGTCCACTCTTCCAGACCATAATGTGCACTCTTTCATATCTCTGTCTTCTCCGCAGTCGGGACAGTATGGAGGTAATACACTTTCTTTAGTTCTGTTGAGAACTGTTGATTTACTGACTTGGTCACCTGATTAAACATTAAAATAATAAGCTTCGACTCATTGAGTGTCATGTGAAACCATTCAATATTAGGAACCTTTGATGACTTTTGAGAGAAATTGTTCTGTTTTTGCTCATATTTTATTAGTGATATTTGCTCTTTTTTTGTAGACACAGACTATCTGAAGTACCTCTTCCCTCAGTTTGTCAAATCCAATTTGTATCATGTATGCTATACTGCAGTGGGTCAGAAAATCTCAATCTGTAACTACTGGAATGGTAAGTGAATGGAAGGATCAGACACATACAGTATAAGGCATTTCAGAATGTTTGTAAACAATAGGCACCGCGATACTTCCGGGTCGTTATACGTGGGTCGTTATATAGCTGATGTTCTCAACTAACTTAGTTAATTACTTTCTATGGCTAGAAAGCTTAGGCTACTTTCTTTTGAGCGGTGAGGAGTAAATGCTTCTTCATCGTAAATGCTTCTGATTGGCCATTGCGTTCAATAAATCAACACATATGTCTGTGATTGGCTACATCACTCATCGCTGCAGTCATGTTATAAAAAGAAACTCTGCCATGTAAATCATTTCTATTTTGTTTCAGTTCTTCTTGTTGCTTTTCTGCAACAGATGAATACAAATGTATTCGTTTTTATTTGTTTTATTCATAGATATTTCTAGTTTGCGGGAGTCCCGCGAATCGTTTTATTCTCCCGCAATCCGCACACACAGAGTGAATGCATTACTGCCCGTGCTCGCACTCGGCCATCAGATCTAGTCCCGCGCCGCGCTACGTTGGGAGTGCACGTCTCTAGATCAAAGAATCTAAGCTCTAATGATCATGTTAACTATGTCTGAATTTCCACCACGTCTGTTTTTTAATCAACTGTTGAAATGTAGATTAGGCTACTGCCAACGGTGTGTCTCCCTCCAAGCAATTTACTAGTGTTGCCATAGGGACGCTTCGGCTTTTGCCACCCGGAAAAACGTCTATTATTGTTGTGACGTCATGGTCAATTGTCGTATTGCTCATGTTGCATCAAAGATTTTTACTTGTCGTTTTTGCAGCATTACAACTAATCACACATTTCTGTTGAGCATATGAATGCAATGGACAATCAGATATGTGTACTTTGGTAGCTTTCTGTATAATATATTTCCAGTTTGAATTTTTGTTTTTCATGATAAGGTAGCCAGTGTGATGTCTTGATTTTCTAACAGCATAAAAATGCACAAACTAATTCATAAACAGTTCTCAACCATCTGTGTCTGCTTGTGAAGCCCACAAGAATATGACATTTTCTGGTTATTCTATAAACCAGTATTAATATTCTTTATTGCAATATTATGGGCAATAAATAACAATGGTTAAAAGGGGGAATTAAGTGTGCGCCAAGCTTCAGGAACAGTGTTTCATTGCTAAAAAGCAGAAAAAATTAAGAGCAGGGATAGGCAACCTTTTTATCATGAGTGTTATTTTTAAGTTTCCTAGTTAATAATTGTGCCAGATTTACAATGTGACCTTATAGAACACCACTACATGTGAACAGAGTTTGCACATCACTGTTATTTTGATGAGTGTGGAATGTTGAATAGGACTCTATATTGAGTACCTTAGAAACGTATAGACCTTATTCGATCTGCGTCATCAGTGTTTGCGGCGGCCATTTTGTTGACATAGAAACCACGGAAACTGTCAGTCTGTCAATGGACAAGCGAGGTAGCGTCGGGATTATCCATGATATTATCACTGTTTTTTTTTTTTTTAACAGTGTGATGGTGTTGTTTTATTGCTGTTGTTAGAACAGCCGTGTATTACACATCAGAGTTCGTTTTTATGCAATATGATACCGACTGTCAGAAAACGTGAAGGGAAGGAGACGGGGTTGAGACAGTGCAGGAGAGGCTAGCTAGGATAAATAGGCTAAACTTTCAGCCAACTCCCCACAGAAAAGTCTGTTCCTATCATTTTACCACAGGTTTCACACATAATCCGTGTGCAATGCGTGTGCGGTGTGTATACTGTACAGAAGCAGGACGCAAGTGCATAACTGATCCGCGGCTTTACCACGAACACCCCGGTACTCACTATTTTTATTTTAACACATACTCATTATTTCAACAACGTAAGCCAATTATTCCATGCATTACTTCTATATATTAAGTTGCACAAGCAAGTGGTCAAATATGTAACCATGTACTCATGTTAAAATCACAAACATTTTAAATGAAAACTTAAAATTGACAAAAACAACCGACTCTCATGCCTTTTCTTTTGCACTTACATTTTAATACAACAAATCTTGCATTTCACAAAGCACTTGTTTTTCCACCTCCACGAATGAGACGAGTGTCGTTCATGTTGCCTTGTTGAGGTAAATTGTATAGTTTGTACGTTATACGGATACTGTATGATCGAGATCGTTATAAATATCCGGATAGGTTATGGCTGGCAATAAGGACGGATCTTTACTTAATGCTATTATTTAATTTTGATGTGGGTCCGCACACCAATCAAGCTTATCTTCTCTTGATACTGACGAGATGTAGCTCCCCCTCAACTCAAATCTGCGCACTGCTAAGGGCAGCAGGACAGATGTCATGTCAACAATATGGCCGCGGTTAGCTACTTCCGGTATTTGCGAATAAGGTCTATAGCATTAAAGGTGAGTGAGTAGAAATTTTCTAAAACTTTTTCCCAAATTTGTTTAAACTGTCTATGTATACCAATACATAATTAAAATGTAAGTACTCTGAAAAAGAAAGTATACAGATTGAGTGTCTGTAGTCCTCTCAGTGCTGCAATAGGCCTTTATCACATTTCTTGGTTTGGAACGTTCGAAATCGCCAAGCAGTGTACTCGCACTTCCGGTGGTTACTTAGTTACCAGATAAACTATGGCTGCCTCCTCTCGCCGGTGCTATTGCAGTGTACCGGGTTGTTCAACATCAAAACAAAGACAGCCATACCTTAGCTTCCATGACTTCCCAAAAGACGAACACCTCCGCAAGGCTTGGGTGAGATTGATAAGGAGGGACGAAGGTCCTTTGTTCCATATAAGTCGGGGTAGTACGTTTGTATGCAGCTTGCACTTTGACGAGGAAAGCATTTACGTCTCGAAAAGTGGGCGAAGGAGACTAAAATCCGGTACTACACCAAGTCGATTTTCGTGGAACAGCTGGGGGGAGACTCGTGTGCTTCGCCAGTCAGTTTTCGATCGGGTTAATGCGCGTTTTGAAGTAACGTTAGTTGAAGAGTCACAGAATAGCGACTCTGCTATAGACCATTTCACAAGATGTAAACAACACTGGTCCAGAAACACTTCCTGTTTTAGTTTGTAACTTTTTTCTTTATTTCACATGTAAAGAAAACATCTTAAAGATGTTTGTTTAACTTTTTGATTCAGTTTTAAATGTTCTGTTGGTTGTATTTTATCCCATCTTTTATGTAGTGTTAAAAAACTGAAACAGGAAGTGCTTCTGGACCAGTGTTGTTTACATCTTGTGAAATGGTCTATAGAGAACGCGGATGAACAGCCCACAGTCGCGGAGGATCAACAACCCGCGGCCGCCAGTGATCACAATTACTCCCGCGACTCCGCAGGTGGACTAGATGCTGATGCTGCTGCCGAAACCATCAGGCAACTGGAGGCTAAGGTCAGAAGTTTAGAAAGACAACTGAGTGACCTGTCATGCACACTAAACATCAACAGATACTGTGCCACTGACGAGGAATTCCGGTTCTACACCCGTTTTCAATCAGAGAAGGTGTTTTGGTCGTTTTGGGAATCAGTTGCCCCCTCAGCATCTAGGCTAATCTACTGGAGCAGAGCTCAGAGGGCAAGCGATGTCATGGCATTGGAGAAACCAAGCCCGAACCGGAGGCTGGCACTCGTGGATGAACTGTTTCTTTACTGCTGTCGAGTTGCCGTTGGTATGAAGGAGAAGGTGATTGCGGACATATTTGGCATTAGTCTCACTACGGTGAGTAGAATAATAATTACATGGGCCAACTATCTATTCATTGTTTTGGGGTCAGTGCCAATCTGGATGTCAAGGGAACAGGTGCAAGCAACAATGCCACCAAAGTTTACACAGTACTGCCCGAACGTGCGTGTTATTCTGGACTGCACAGAAATCAGATGTGAGGCACCATCATCACTTACCCTCCAGTCAGAAACATTCTCCTCCTACAAGAACACCAATACTTTCAAAGGTCTAATTGGCATTGCCCCATGTGGTGTTATCACCTTCATCTCAAAGCTTTTCACAGGTTCAATATCAGATCGAGAAATCACACGTCAGTCAGGGATCCTCAGCCTGTTTGAGCCTGGAGATGCATGCATGGCTGATAAAGGCTTTGTCATTGACCAGATGCTGTCTGATGTTGGAGCAACCCTCATAATCCCCCCATTCAAAAGAGGTACCAGGTTCAGCAAAGAGGACACAGAAAAAACCCAGAACATCGCCCGACTAAGAATCCTGGTGGAGAGAGCCATCAGAAGAGTGAAGGAATATCATATCTGGGACACAACCATTCCTTTGACCCTTTCAGGGTCCGTCAATCAGCTATGGGCAACTTGTTGCCTAATGTCCAACTACCAAGGCCCTCTGGATGTGAAGGGTGATGTCCCAGTGTGAAACCCTTAACATAGGCATAAGATGAATGATTCAGATTTGTTTGGTTTCATTTTATTGCATTAAAACATGGCATAGCATTTATTATTTATATATATATATATAATATATATATATATATATATATATATATATATATATAGCATGACATATATACATCTTTTATAAAAAATAATTTATGTGAAAATAAATACAAATATAGCTGCGAGCAGCGATGGCGGGCCCAAGCCGGTGGCACCGCAACCCCGGCTCCTTTAGTTACCTAAAGGCACCGGGGTGGCGGTGCCGAAGGCTTTGGCCCTTTCATGATTAAATGTTAAAACGGCTTGCCATAGTCTGTCATTTTGACTAGTCACAATTATGTTACAGATATCTTAAATGATAATACAAACTATCCAAAATGTAATTACGACTAGACAGAAAGACATTGTTGATATCTACAATGTTAATTTCCGGATAGGCAAACTTAGCTTTTAAATGTTAAAAGGGCTTGCCATACACGGACGTAGGCTCAGAGAGAGTCTCACCATATTCAAACCAAAATATCTGACTTCCTCTTGGTCTGAGCTAATGACTATGAATTAGAAAGTTGTCTGGCTTGAGGAGTACAATGTATATAACGATTTTTGTAACTGTAGATAAAAATAACAACCCCACTTTTGTCAAAAGGTGGCGCTATTTAGTCCCTGCACCATGCCCGTTTCTGAAACTTTGCACATGTCTACTGGCTAATAAATGTGATGTGTCTGTTGAGTTTCATGCAATTTCAAGCATGCTAAGAGTCTCAAAAGCATCCTAAAATAATTTCAAAGTTTGAAGCTTTGCCACGGCAACAGTTTAAAAGATATCAAGAATCCATTCACAGGTCTACATCTACCGTATGTTTACATTATACAGATGAAGTTTTTCATCTGTTTTTCATCATTATACAGATGAAGTTTTTCATCTGTTTACATTATACAGATGAAGTTTTTCATTCATATAATTACATGCAAGCGTGTTTGATTTATGGACCAAGTTTTCGGACCCCGTTCCAGGGGGCGCTGTCTAGCCCCCCTGCCACGCCTAGGTACCATCTTCAGCCCGGGCCTGATGGCTGTGGGATATGACCTGTGTGCAAAGTTTCAAGAGTTTTCAAACCCGTTAAGGGCCTCAAAAGCCATTAAGAGCCTCAAAATCATCAAAAAAAAAAAAGAATTTTAAAGTTTGATGCGTTGCCACGGCAACAGTATCAAAGATATCAAGAATCCATTCACAGGTCTTCATCTGCCATGTATTTACATTATACAGATGAAGTTTGAAGCAAATCGGGTAAAAATAAGAGGTTGATTTCAAAGCATTTTGAAAGTGACACACTTCCTGCTGCCAGTTGGTGGCGCTATAACTTTGACTCGAAATAGTCACATCCATGTGATCGTCCTCTTACAGCGAACACACTGATGAAGTTTCATCAAGATCAGTTAATGTATGCTGAAGTTATAACACACTTCCTGTTTCACGTTTCTCGCCATAATTTCGTTTCCTCGCCACGGCCAAACCGTTTGAGATATCAAAAATCCCCTCACAAACTTTCATCCTCAATGTCTTGACTTCTTGCACACCGAGTTTGGTTGTGATTGGTAAACACATGCGTTGTAATTTGATGTATTTCTCCTAGGACAACTATTCAAACAACCCATAATTCTCAACTTCCATTTTAATTGTCGTAAAACTTAGTTTTAATTGTTGAAAGTGACACACTTCCTGCTGCCAGTTGGTGGCGCTATAACTTTGACGTTTCTCGCCATAATTTCGTTTCCTCGCCACGGCCAAACCGTTTGAGAACACACTGCTGAAGTTTCATCAAGATCAGTTAATGTATGCTGAAGTTATAACACACTTCCTGTTTCACGTTTCTCGCCATGATTTCGTTTCCTCGCCACGGACAAACCGTTCGAGATATCAAAAATCCCCACACAAGCTTTCATCCTCAATGTCTTGACTTCATGCTGACCGAGTTTCGTCGAATTTGGATCAAAGCTCTAGGAGGAGTATTTCAAATACCATTGCGAGCGTTTTACAAACAAACCTCAATAGCCGACTTCCTGTTGGGCTGGGGTAAAAAGTAAAAGCGCGAGGTATAGATGAAACGATGAGATCGACATGTGTACCGAGTTTCATATTATTACATGCAAGCGTGTTTGAGTTATGGACCGAGTGTTCGGACCCCGTTCCAGGGGGCGCTGACGAGCCGCCCTGCCACGCCCAGGTACCAGCTTCAGCCCGGCTCTGATGGCCGCGGGTTCTGACCCGTGTGCAAAGTTTCAAGAGTTTTTGAGCATGTTAAGGGCTCCAAAAGTGCCAAAAAGGTAGTAAAATAATAATAAGAATAAATAATCCCAAGGAAAACAATAGGGCCTTCGCCCTTTCAGGGCTTGGGCCCTAATAACATTACATTTATACACTAAAAAAAATCAGACACTCATCTTACATTTATATTTACATACATTTAATTTACTTTAATTTTAATCCATTAAGTACAAGTGTGTGTACTTTACATTTGTGTGTGTTTGTGGTGGTGGTGATGATTAGAGAGTAGGTATGTCCGTTCCATAAATAAATCAATAAATAAAATCAGAAAGAGATCCCAGTTGTTTGTGTGTGTGTGTTTGTGTGTGTGTGTGTGTGTGGGGGGGGGGGTTACTTTAGTTTCAGGTACGTTTCCATATATGTCGTGAAATAAAATAAGTCAAGTTTACCTTTCATTTCACTGGTCAGCGACTCGTCGAGCCAAATTCGCTCTACTGTGAGGTCACTTTGTGTGGATGTAATGAAATCACACCATTTTAAACCAGTAATGGCTAACTGGCCTTGCACTTGCCAAAAATACTTGTGATTTTTTTTTAGTTTGGCCTGACCACCAATGAACTTGACATGTGTAACCTCTGTTATACTGTTAACATCTGGGCATTTCACTTCAGCTAACCCAAAGGGTGGATTTGCAGTGGGATCATACACTTTGGCATCAGGGCTAGCACCGAGGTAAGGCGCATCAGGATTCACAACGAATCCAGAAGGAGCAACACTGACATTGCAAAGGTCACTGTACTGTTGTAAAACTTCTGGCTCAAGGTCAATACCCCTTTTCATAGCAGGTGTTTGCCTTACCCCCTTTATGATCCTGGCTGCAAGAGCCTGACTAGATGACTCCCCTCTAACGCTACAAACTTCGCTGAATCTACTGGAAGTTAGGCGGGGCTGTCGGACTTCCTTCCACAAAGGATTCTCTGACTGCCCCCTTGTATTCTCTTCAATGATACTTGCACATTCACGGGTTAGTTCTAAACTCTGTAAGTGATAAAACTGCTGACAATTGGGGACAAAATGTAGATGCCGTTCTAATTCTAAGCCACTAATTAATGGAAGTTGTGGAAATGAGGGAGCTTCTGGATGCTTAATGATTTCTCGGGGTATTACTGGTGTGCACTGATAAGAAAGAACTGAACCTCGAGGGACTGGTCCAAATTTAGAGTCCACTAAAGTCAGTTCAGAGAGGCCGTGTAAGATTTTGCAAATGCCAGGTTGTGGCTGATGGCTGCGTAGTTGGGCTCCAACTGACAACACTGCCGGGTCAGGAAGGGGTCCTAAAACACAAGTAACAGAAACCATTCATCAGTTAATAACTGTCAATGTTTTACAAGCAACAGTGTAGCTAATCTTTTTTTTTTTTTGAACTTTTCTTTTATTTCCTATTATCAAGTGCAGTCATACAGTATGTTACGAGTAAACATTTGATGATACAATAATGATGATACAGTAAAGTGTCATGGACAAGTCTACAAATAGAGCATCAGACCATAGATATCTTCCATCCTAACAAGAATATAAGTGAGGGGAAAGATCCTTATCTCTGCAGTACCACATATACATTTTGGTAAATAGTACAGATTTTTTTTTCCCTTTCCTTCCTTTACAATATATATGACCATTGGGAGAAAAAAAAATGAAATAAGACCAAGAAAAATATAGTCTACATAATAGTCATATCAAATGAAAATGTTGGACAATTGAAGACCATTTATTTAAGAAAACCTCTACTTTCAGTTGTAATAATGCCGTTGTATACTCCATGTTATAAACATCCTGTATTCTATCCCTCCATTGTGCAACCGTTGGAGGGTGTGGCTTCAGCCACGAGGCTGTGATTGCTTTGTTTGCTATTAAAAGAAGGAGTCTCAGCAAACATTTTTGGTTATTCTCTTCAAGGTCAGCTGGCAGTATCCCTAGCACAAAGTATGATGGTTCAAGAGGTAGATCTATACAAAGACATTTTTTTATTTCTTTTTGTATATTTTGCCAATATTCTAATATCCTTGGACAGTCCCAAAATATATGGGTGTGATCTCCCACCAAGCACAACCTCTCCAACAGCTATCTGAATTATTGCTCCATTTTGATGTTATGAATGGAGTTCTAAAATATCTCATTTTAATTTTCCATCCAAATTCCTTCCAATTAGGGCTACTGGTTACCCTGTGTCCTTGACTGAATGAAGTCTCCCACTGCTCGTCTGTAATTATTGTGTTCATTTCTAATTCCCATTTTTCTTTAATATCTAAATTATTTCCTTTAAATTCTTCTTGCAATATTTTGTAAATATGTGAAATGAATTTTGAGTTTACTTTTCCTTCTATTATTGATATGAAGAAACGCTCTATTTTTGTTGGTTGGGAGCAGAGCCTTTCCCATTCTAGATGATTTTGGAGGTAATGTCTAATTTGTAAATACCTAAAGAAATCTTGGTTCGGTAAATCATAATTCTCTTTGAGTTGTTCAAATGATTTCAAGGCTGCTCCGTCAAACAGTTGATCCAAAACCACTAGACCCCTTTCTGTCCATTTCAGGAAACTCTTGTCCAGCCTAGCTGGGGAAAACTCACAATTATTTGCTATCCTTATAGCTCTGGAAATAGTCATGGGAAGTTGTAATTTCTTCCTCACAATTGACCATATTTTTAAGGTGTTTCTACTCCATACATTA